GTCACCATCACTAATTATGGATCGAATTGTAGTTAAATATTGTCTTTCGTATATATGCGTGTTTTGAAGCATACGATTCCACATACCTTATATTATGATTCCATTTGGATTAATGTAAATACCTTTTAAATATTTCTATTTTCTACTTACGGAGTATGAATTCTCCAAGAAACCAAGACATATTCGTAATAAGTCAAACTCATAAGTTTGAATATAAAGTTAATGCGATAACCAGTTCGTTATACAAATATCAGTTAAAAATATCTCACAATATTCATCTTTCCCGGGTACTTACATCTAGTGTAATTATGCATATTAGCATATAGGAGTATACGTATATATATTTTATAATTTATAAAAGTCGTCATCGTTTGTCATGTGAACGATGGAATTTAAAATGTAATTCTGGCGAAGCCAACAAAGTAACCGATCAGCATTATAGAGTACCTATAAGACATGATAAGTTTGCAAAAAATTGTTTTCACGCACTGCATAAAATGGCCATTTATGCAGGGCGTGGGTCTCTTCGTGTTTTTCCTTATACATAGTTTAATAATTTTCCTAAATCAAAAAAAATAATAGTCGTAAAACAAGTGGTCGACGCCCGACGGTGACAAACTTGCAGGCGAGAGACCCGCAATAACTGTATATAATAATATAAATATGTAATTATCATAATAATATTCAACTCATATTCGTATAAAGTGTGTGGTCCGGGTAACTTATAATTATTGTAGTTTTTGTATATTATAAGTAAATAATAATTTCCGTTATGTTTTTTTTTCTTATTTCGTTTATAGCTATAGGTACACATATAGTCCATGTCGTATGTATGTGCATGTAAATGCGATATTTTTTTTCCTCGGATGACGCACCGGAAATATTTACGGAACGAGACTCATGAGAACCGGTCTATGTTGATTTGTCAAAAATATAAAATAAAATATTGTTACGGGGACACACATGACTATATATTTTATATAAGTACAGACATTACTGTATTCTTCCAAGATACTAAATCCGTCCCGCACGGTAATATCCGCCGCCGATATGAATGAAACTTTTAAACGAACAGTAATCGTAATTGTTCCCGAGTCACGCGTGACGCACGTTTATACGGACATTGCGGTCCACGCGGATTCCTGCGGTCATTCGTGCTGCAGTCATTGAACTTGCAGTGTTTTTGTTTCCCAGCCGTTTTTCTACATGAACGATGCTAAAATAATTTAGTTAGGATTGCTTTTTTCCTTTTTCAAAAATGTTTTTTTGCTATTTTTTTTATCATATATATATAAACACCGTAGTCAGCTGTCGTTTATATATATATATATTTGCTTCGATTCATGACAAACGTGCGTGACCGACAGCCAATTAGGATCTTGTTCGTCGTTAATCAGGATCACAAAAGAAATAACTCGTTATAACCCCTCATCAACACTTAAAAAGAGTTACATGGAATATCGATTATCGATTACGGGACTGCGTCGGGGTAACTCTACTGCCTAGTGCCTATAAACAATATACATATACATACATCTATATAGGTACTTATATTATTGTTATGTACGAATGAGAATATAATATGGCTGTCAGATGAAAATGCGTCTCACTTAGATTTGGATCAATTATTATTACATCTAAATCGTGTTCGAATTTACAGTGGATTTCCTGAAGAGCATTTCTAAGTACAATATGTATATATAACTGATTAAAATATAACATCAAATTCCATACAAATATAAACTAGGTTTGTTCCAATGATTCTAATTTGTATAATATAATAACTAATAAGTATGTATGATGTATCAATATTTGTGCGAGGTTTAAATCTGATGTGTGATTGAATTGTTAGACGTATTTATTTTAAACTTAATAATCTTCATCAGATACACGGCAACACGGTTGCACCAGTTAGGTTCAATTAGTGATTAAAATATTTAAATTTTCGTTTTGAAGTGCTGAATGCATATTTCATAAACTTAATTTCAAATTTCAATAGTTATCTACTTATCTAGTCCAATAAAGTGTTAAGTTATTTTAGTTATTATATAATAATAATAATAATAATAATATACTTGTTCAATATTGTTATACGTACTTATGGGCTATGATGTAGACGTACAATTACAATAAATCATAGGCGTGCGCACGGGTGCAGCAGAAGGTTCATATGTTGCATCTGCCACACTTTTTGGGCCGATTGATTAGTCTATGGGCCGGTCGGGGCAATTCATTATTTAATAATTTAATATAAATTRTAATAATTAATAAGTAAATAAAATTRATGTGAACCATAAATAATATAATTATTTTATATTATAACTAATAAAGTCTGATAGTAATTGTAACTTGGTGTTTTCAAAAACAGTGAACAAATGTTTCCTTAAATTTTGTATGTGAACATTTGTTAATTGTTAAAAAAAAAAATGATATTATTATAACTACTTAGGTAACAATAACACTGCCTGTGTATAATATGATCAAAAATTATAGTTTTGACTATTCAACATTTATTTGGCCGATTGTTAAAAAATGGGCTGCTTAATTTTATATGCTGCATCTGCAATGAAAGTCTGCGCACGCCTATGCAATAAATAATCTTCAGTTGCAGAAATAGTCATTGAGGACTGAGGTAATGTATATAATATTATTTCAACGTTCAGTTAATATGCCATTAATTTAATTCGTACGAAACCATATCATGTTGAAAACAAAAACAAAACAATTTTAAGCCCGTTGAAATTTAACAAGATGAAAGTAAATAGCAATGGATTGGAAATGTGTGCCATTTTATTACATTAATACATGGAAAATGAGGTAAATGTTAAACGCATAATACGTGTGGGATAAATGATTATTGATTACGATGATGAACTAGAAATTATATTTGAGAACACGCACAAAAGATTGATTGGTTACTATACTATTGTTTATGATTACTATCGATCGACAGTCGACACGTTTGCCTCAAAACATTCGATTACTTAGAACGAATTCAATAGGTACAGTGCAATAAGATTTAAATTGTGATGTACCTCAATTCTATTGTACTCGTTTTGATTATAATATTACCTATATTTATCTACAATCATTTAAATCAATAGTGTGACGATTTGAAGTTTCTACTAAATTTGAGTACCTACCTATCTCATCTATATTATTATTCGGAACATTTGTATATAACACGATCATAATATATCTGTATTATTAAACTTAGAATATTATTATATACCTAGGTATAAAAATAATCATAAATGTTTTTTACGGAATGTATTATTAACAATATTTACGTAGAAGATTTATTTACACATTCTGTGTATAATGTGCATGGAGTTTATTTGGTACCTATAATATTTGTTATACACGTACATACATTGCAATATCTAATTAACACACATTATACATATGTTTAGGTTATATTTACTTTTTTACTCAACATAACGGCGCAGTCTTTCTTAATAATTAATCTACAGTACACACATACACCATATATGTACACCTTTACTACCCAGTCTTTGTAAAATTTTAAAATTTTATTAGCTGCGAAGACAAATTTATATAAACATGTTAAACTGTTAGGAAGGCGTTTTAAAAACATGTGTTATATACTTATTTCCGTCATACTTGCCAAATTTGTATTTTGCAGAAATAGCAGTTAGCTCTAGTAGTAAAGTTAATTGAACTATTAATTATTATCAAACTTTAAGGTGACAAAATTATCTATGTTTTTCACGTTTTTTTTTAAATTTTTTAAGCGAGTTATGACATATAAGCATTTTAAAATATTTTCCATACGCTATAAATATATAGCTTTAAAATTGAAATATCGTGGGAAACGAATTTAAAATATGTTAAAAAACTAGCCTGAATTGAAACGGCGAGTTACCAAGGAAATCTCAGTGAGCTGCTAAAAAAAAGGTCATGTTTGGACAATTATTTTATAACACAAATTTAAATATATTTATTTATCTCGGTATGCTGCGTTAAACATATAGAAATTTTCATTTGAAAATTGGTCTTTTAGGGACAGTTAAAAAATTAAAACTCGGTGGGCCGATACCGGCGATACCTATTGTGTATCCGGTGCTGTAAGGAACAAAGATATAATGTTCTTACCTTAAGGTTTGATAACTAACTCTAATATTACTAGTAAAACATTAAAACTATAACCATACAAATTGGTTTTGTTGAATGCAATTTTGCTATGTACAGTACGTTTGTAAGACGTAGACAACACGTTATGTGATAATTTGACAAAACCTATTATACGTACCTAGTATTTTTAATATTGAAATCAAATGTTCATAGTCTATATACCATATATTATGTAATAAACTAATAAGTATAGACAGTACAGTATGGGGAAATAAATCAGATTATACGATATAATGTATTATAAATACAGGTATAGAAAAGGGAAGTCGCCAACATGGGTGGCTTGCAGAGGTTGACTATGTGAATGTTCACTACTTTATAAAGATATTACTATTGTTTCCCAATTATTTGACAAACACGCTATAAAAATATTAAAAGTGTGTACATAAAACCTGTGTTAAACTTCAGCATTTAATATTTTATTGAATATAAGACTCAATTAACCAAGTTCCTCCTTACTAGAGCTTACAAAGAATTAGCTGATCTTAAAAAAATTAATAGAATACATTTTATACGTTTGTTTACGTCCCCTGTAAATGTTTAGCACAAAATTTCATAATATTAGTTGATGACTATACAAATGGCTATAAGTTTTAAGCGATTGGATTTATTTAACATAGGTATACTATCAAGTATCAACTCCTGAAATTTGCACCCTCTTGGACTCACACTCTCTTGTCCTATTTTCAAGTCGATATACATAGATATGATGGCCGTATTTGGAGTCGACAATTTCGTATGACATCCCTCCCCCTACCATCACCCCCACATATTTTTCTGGAGCTGCCTCTGTAGGTACCTAACTCGACCCGTCTCGACGACAATACGGCGATGTCTGACTTTACCTTGAACGACGGCGATTGGTGGTGATGGTGACGAGGAACTCCTTTTCCGGCGACGTTCATGCTGACGGCGATCGCGGACGTCCGGCGGGTGACGATTGCTGCTATATAGCTGCTGTATCGGCGGCGGTTGTGACGATTGATGTTACGGAACAGGCTGGACGACAGCTGCTATAGCGGTCATGTCCCGTGTATACGCGTGCGGTGGACGACCAACTGCTACTGCGCTACGCGTGGTTGTCGTGTATTATGGTCTCTCTCTCTCTCTCGCGCGCGCGCGTGTTTTCCGTTTTGCGGCCCCGCGGCGGATCGTCGTCGCGGTGCACACGCGCGCGTCCAACAATGGTACGGGTGTTTTGAATTTTATTTAAAAAAATTTTTTCGCAGAAACTTTGCGGCGACTACGACGACGTGTGTTTTCGACTAGAGTAATAACGCGCACGCGGAGGAGTCAACGACCGGCTTGGACTTCGGATGGCTGGTGCTCTGGTGGAGTTCCGCGCCGGAGCCGATGAACGCGATCGTGACCCCTACTATTATAATAGGTACGCGCCGTGATCGTTGACGGATCCACCCCACTGCCGTCCCGCGCGACTCACGAGATCTGGCCGTCTCGGACCCGCCCGCCCGCCAGCCTTCTCAACGTGTGTACGCGTCGACGCCACGACGGCGGCCGTGTAATGTATCTACACGCGGCGGCCACAACCGGTCTATGCGGACGAGCGCGCGAGCTGCAATCGTTCGCGCTCAGCAATAGTCAGCTAGCATTGCCTATCGTGACGACTTCGTCACAACACACAACGCCTTGACGTAAATCTGTCATATTTTTTTAGTTCTGCTGACCCGCCTGAAGATTTTAATGTTTTAAATTCTCTGGAATAGAATATTTTTCGTAAATAATTCTTTACAGACGTGTGCACCATTCGCTTACGAGTTACGACCCGTTATTAGATATTTTTCTGCATTGAAATTCATCGGTTTTTACATTTTTTTTTTTTTTAAGTTCCAGTTCGAAGGTCGTGAAGGACGACAATGAGTAAACTGTAAATGTTATAAACAGTTTAACGGTTATTTCTCTGCTCATAATGATGTTGATATATTGCTATTTTATATCCATTTATAATACGTCATTATACCTATACAGAGTTATTCATCAGACACGATCAATCCCATCATCAAAATCAGCCAATGGGTAACAAAAGTTTATACAATTAGAACTATAAATAATGATATGAAATTATGATTATGTCGGTCAGCGCGTTCTTGCGTAGTCCTCGGAGCCGGATTTATGGGAGGGCTGAGTGGGCTGCAGCCCAGGGGCCCCCACAAATTCAGGGCCTCGCCAATGTTATGATATTTAAATTAGGATATAGAAAAAAAATTTTATTTGTATATTAAATACTTATGTTTACACATATGCAATTAAATAATATTGACCATTATTTGGACATTTAAAAAATTTAATTTTAATAACTATAACAATAGATATAGATGTATACGCGTTTGTTGACAATGATAACGGTGTCTAAGAATMTGGATAAGATAGATTTTTATGCCATCCGTAATCGGTGTTGATTTTTAAAACGTAATTGATAAGTTTGTACAAATGAAATTAAGAAAAGTTCCAGGCATTTAATTTTAATTGCCTGACATTATAATGGTATTGCTTATAGCTTATACTATAGTTATACTTGATTCGATTGTTTTTATAATTATTTATTATTAAATAATTAGTTAATTGTTACTACTATAGTAGTAAGTAGTATACTAAATATGATAATAGATGTTATTTAATAAGTAAAAAAAATATTTTCTTATTTATGTGTTAGGGGCCCCCACAATGCATTCCGCCAGGGGACACCACATACCTAAATCCACCCCTACTAGTCCATCTATTTTCTTTAATATTTAGACAATAATCAAAAACATGTTTCATAAAATTATACAAAAATGGCTTATTTTGAAAAAAAAGAACAGATCAAAATGAAAAATATCTCAAAAACATCCAAAATAGCATTAAAAGGACGTTATACCCGTATGTGTTGTCTCTGTCTTACACTAGTGCGTAACATGGCAATTTTAAACTAATAGAACTACACGTGATCTGCTGAGCGTAAAATTTGCTATTTTACGCACTTGTAAGACGGAGACAACACATGCGGGTATAACGTCCTCTTGAAAAAAAAAGTATGAACATAGGTATTATGTAAAAATGTGAAAAATTAAATTTTGAATTTTGGTTTTATATATCACGAAACAAATTTTATGATAACTCTTCTATTTCTAAAGCAAATATAAAAGAAGCACCTACGCAAATGCTATAAAATCTCTACCCAGTTAATAATTAATATTAATCCATTATTATTTTATACTTTGTGTAAATTATCAGAGAATAATAAATAATGCTGTATTCAAAATTTAATAAATTTTATATTTTTAGAAGACCATCATTAGGGATAATACAGTTTTTGATTTAGATATATATCAACATTTCATAAAAAATTAGCCACTTTATAGTTAACACTTAAAAAGGTTGGTTCTCTGTGAAAACAAAATAAGTTTTAATCCCATTTCTACAATTGGTTGACATTCCTGAGTGGTATAAAAATTTAAATAACTTAAATAATTTAATACCTAGTCCTTAAGCATAATTAAAATTTCTAAAAATTATATACATATTGAATAAAATATCGGGATGAGCATACTTTACCAAATCAATATAACATGACGTATATCGATGGATAAACCTCATCAGTCATTTTTCCATTGGCGCATCATCTATTAAAATAGTAAGGTGCAAAAGGATTATTAGCATCCCCAAGTTCTAATTTAGTATCTCTTGTTTTTTAGATCTAACTATTAACGTTATAGTAAAGTACCATCGATTATATGATTTTAAAATATGAAATAATTACCAAAAAAAAATCAAAATCGTTTTGGTCATTATATTAATCTATTTTAAATAATTACACATATTCCTATAATTGATGAATGATTAATATTAAGATTTATATTATAGGGAAATGGGTTGCATGTGACCAATTTTTAGCCATTAGCCAATAGGTCACATTAAAAAGTTCTAAACAGATGTATCATTATAATATATGATATGGTCGATTGTGATCACTAGTGATCCCCGTCAAGTTATATTGGTAAAATCTTAATATTATATTAATAAAAATAGTATTGTACATATATATTTTGTTTTAATCAATAGTATGACTGGTGTGTAAAAAATAATGTGTATAAAAAGTTTTAAATATTGATTATTCTAGGTTTGTATAACTTGTTAGACTTTGTAATTTTGAGCCCTTGACGGATCTAGCTGTGACTCTGTGAGGCATTCACAAGCATAACACACCACGGTTTAGAAGTCTAAATAGTTGAGTTTGTCAATTGTCAAATAAAATTATAAAGATGTCACTTTGTTGAGTGTAGATTCATAATATAACTATACAGAGTTTCCTACATGGCTACATATGTAGGTATAGGAAACCGGTCTAAAGCCTCTCCCCTTTATATTTTATTATATGTATTGACATACTGTATAATACATTGCAAATATTTTCAGCAAAATATACATTTAAGTTTTTAGTAGTGATTACGAATAATAATTGCGATRATAGTATAATAAAAACAGAAAAAAGTTTCCAAAAACATTACGTCTTCATACGTATATTTTTATAATTTTTAGATTAACTAGAAATAGAATATACCACATTATAAAGAGTTTTGTAACAGTATAATTCAACTATTTATAGACTTTTTTTTAACTGCTGAATATTATCAGCGTTGAACTATTTTATCCGGTTTCAACTAGTATACCTACCTACAATAATGATATATTATATTATTCTAACGTGTATAGACAATTCGTAACGAAAACGATTGCTCATCGTGCTCTTGTGGAACACACTATTATTATGAAGCAAAAAACTGTACGTGACTGCGTTGAATGTAGCAAAAAAAAAAATATAAATAAATAAAACGTTTGAATACTACAATTTTCGATTGAATTCGATTTTCGGTTACAAAAAATATTTTAGGTTTTTTAACACACTTTAAAATAATTTGCCAACTACACGTRCAGTAAATATTTTGGACCTGACTTTGGCAATGGCTAGAGAAATGCTATTGTATTTTCGGATATTTTAATTGAGAATTTGTAAAATGATTTTTTTTTTCATTTAACAGTAGTCTGTGCACTATCAGACTACTTTTTGATACACAATACACAAATTTTAAGTATAGAAACCCGTAAAACTTAAGTTATATTATAGATTAAACTTCGAAGTGAAAATATATTCTTATCATTTACAGCCAATAGGTTAACAGTGTTAACACATAATTAACGTTGTTTCATTAGTAATAAGTATCATAATATTACACAATATACAGCTGCATCGATCTTCCAAAACGTTTTCAAATATTGTGTATAGTAAAAATGATTAGGTAATTTAATATCAAAATAAAAATCATAATTTTGACATTTATAAAATTCAGGCCGGCAATAATCGGATTTACTATGACGTTTAATTCGCAAGTTTGTCGATCAGCGTACCTAATATTACATCTCAAATAATATATAATTCACACTTCTCTTGAGTTCAGGGTCAAATAAGACCGGTTAGGTTAGGTTCCAGATGGTCATTTTTTAAAGAGTGTGCAATGAATCAAAACGACCAATACTTCTCGACTCTCATCATCATGATACACAATACCTATATAGAATTCAAATAATAGACTATATACATATAAATTATATGTTATAATATGATATAACATATCACTTATAAACATCATGCCTGGTTCAAAAGTTGCGTAAAACTTTAATTGACCGTCATGTGTAGGTATGTATTTACGTATATAACGGTCACGTGTAAAAGTTTTATGTAATTAATTATTTATTACCATTAATATTTAAACACTTATATTATACTTATTGTATATCGAACAATTTTATGCATAATCAGACGAGAGCATCACTAAAAATTGAATACGTTAAATTTAATATTAATGCGTTGTGCGCATATAAATGATTGTTGTATGATACAGATTTCTAATTAAAATTACAACATTATTCTTACCGCAAGTAAGCATATTTTTCGCATTATTTAAATTCAGATTTAAACTTTTTTATGCGGATTTATTACCGCTGATCAGTATTTTTAAGTTTAGATATAATGTGGATATTATTTGCTATAATTTATTATAATAGTCAGGCCATCAAGAGTCCGTCTTGATAAAAAAAATGATCTTGAACTACTCGAATTAAATAATATAAGAGTAAGTAGCTATAGCGTATGTATCATTTAAACTCAGATCCCATAAACTAATGCTACTCCTTCTATTCCGACTACCAATATTAAAAAGAAACTTCTAATTTATAAAMAATTGATTCATCCGATTCGATTACTTCTAGAATTCGACTCTGAGAGAAGGAATCTAACAAAATCCAAAATAACTAACACATATATTATTCTAAATCCAATCCA